GAGTGGAGAAAGAAAAAGGCTGCCGTCACTTGTCTTGAGGTTTGCAGGAGCAGGGTTAGTTAAGTAAAAGTCCTTCACACATTACCCCTAGACAAAAACAAGCAGGTGGGGGTAGCAGTCTAGGGGCAAGGCTAGTTTTTGGGGGTTTATTCTTGCAGAGAGTGAAATGCTATTTGTCCTGCACAGAGGATCGGTGCATATCACTGATATATGCCGATCCTCCACCACTTTGCGATCGACTGGTAGACTGCGATCGACCTAATGGGCACCCCTGACATACTGTATATGTTCTCTTAACATTTGAGGCTAGATCAGCATGTAGATAACTCTGAGATCTAACCTCGTAATGTGAAAATAGGAGAATTGAATTCCATACTTACCGTAATTTTCCTTTCCTGTCTAGCTCCATGGCAGCACACGAATGGGTTTATCCCTCCCTCCTTCCCCTAATCAGGATTGTAGCTCATAAATTTGAATGGGTCGCCAAGCTTGCTGTTCCGTAACTAGACGACCGATCAGGTGGGCCCTGTGCTGCAATGGAGCTAGACAGGAAAGGAAAATTACGGTAAGTATGGAATTCAATTTTCCTATTTTCCTGTCAGCTCCATGTCAGCACATGAATGAGAAATAACTAGCCAAAAAGCAGGGAGGGTACAGGTGACATTTTTTATTATATACACATAGCAGAAGAAATAACCAAACGGCCAAAACCAAGGCAGCTGGATCTAGACAATAATGATTCATGAATGTGTTTCGAGACGACCAAGTGGCCGCCTTACAAACAAACGGTCTCCAAAGACACCCGACTTGCTGCTGCCCAGAACGTGGAGAGACTCCTCGTTGAATGGGCCAAGACTCCAGAAGGCACTGGCAGGTGGTTGGCCTCGTAAGCCAACGTGATAGTCTTCACCACCCATGAGGCAATGAGTCTGCTGGATGCCTTAGCACCCTTCCTTGCTCCCCCTGGTACCACAAAAAGAATATCCGTAGAACAGAGTCCTTCGGTGGCCGAGACGTACTCTTTCAGTGTCCCCGCGACATCCAACTAATGTGATGCTCATCAGTGAACCGAAAGGTCGGTAGAACAATCCCCTGCTGCATATGGAAATCGGTCACCGCTTTTGGGTACAAACCCAAGCATTGGGGCTAGGACCACCCTATCCGCTAGGAAGGTAGTAAAGGGTTCTTTAAACCCAAGAGTGGCCAATTCCGTAACCCTGTGAGCGGAGGTGATGGCAACCAAGAAAACCGTCTTTAACCTAAGGTGCCACAGAGACAGGGCGTCTCCAAATGAGTCCGAGGCCAGAAAATCGAGAACGAGAGGAAGGTCCCATTTAGGGAACAGTCGTGCCCTGGGCGGTTTACCCGTAATGCAGCCTTAAAAAAATGAACCATGAGAGCATTGAGGCAAGCTGGAGGCCTGTAAAGGCTGATGCCGCCGAAATCTGGCCCTTGAGGGTGATAACGCTCAATTCCATGCCCAACCCATGCTGCAGAAAGTTCAGCACATTCATGATCTGCGGATTCAATGGCCTAAATTCATGAGCCAACGCAAACTCCTGGAATTTCTGCTACATCCTATACTATAGGCCGGTCAGTCTAACATCGGTAGTTTGTAAAATGCTAGAGGGCATAAGAAAGGATTATCTGGTAGAAAATTGTAGGTACGGTTCGTGCTGGCTTTCCTAGAAAGAAGAAGAGTATCAACAACCCTGCCCGAACATCCTAGCGTGACCAGCCTCCGCCTCTCAACATCCAGGCCGTCAGGCAGCGCTTCATTGATGCCGGATGCAGAACCGACCCCCTAGAAAGAAGGTTCGGCAACAGCGGCAGGGGCCGTGGGGGACGAATGCTCAGTTGGTGAAGGAGAGAATACTAAGGCCTCTTGGGCCAGTTCGGAATGACTGCAAGGACTGTCACATCTTCTCCGCGGAGTCTCTGCAGAAACTGAAGGGTCAAAGGAACCGGAGGAAAGGCATAGGCCTTCCGGAACATCCACTCTGCGGAAAGCGCGTCCGTTGCGAGCGCCTGAGGGCAAGGGAACCTCGAAAAAAATCTGACAACTTTGACGTTGATTCGGGACCCAAACAGATCCACCTCTGGAATGAAGCTCCAGTCCACCAGATCCTGAAAGACTTGTTCTAGTAGGCACCACTCGTTGTCCACAGGAACACGAGATAGATAGTCCGTCTGGAGATTGAGGGCACTGGGAACTGTGGCAGTGTAAGCCAATGCCACGGTGGAGGATGGCGACCTTGGCACCCAGGACTCTCAGCCAAAGGGGCTGAGAGGGTCCAGAAAGTAAAGCAGGTTATAAGGAAGAACCTGGCTTTTCAGGTTATTCCAGGTTTTCCTATTTGCAGCTGGGATCTGGAGCTCTGGAGATTTCGTAGAGCTCTGGGTGGGATGAGATCTCCAGTCCTGGGGCCAGGTGTTGCCAATGTCCAGCCTGGGCTAATCAGGTGGCTGAGAGCAGCCTTATCAAGAAGCCAGCCCAGTGCTCAGAGAGTGTTGGAGTTGTGTGTGTGCAGGGAGCACACGGACACAGACCACCTCGGGTGCATGCTAGACGCACACGGAACAGCCAGGGGTGGCTGGGAGAGGTCAGGAAGGTCGGTGACCCTAGGACCTGCGGTACAGACTGCTAAGAGAGCAGAGTGAGGGCTCACGAGGGGTGAGCAGCGTGAGTGTCTTGAAGCTGAGGAAAGGTACAGAGCCATAACAAGGACTGTCTTATGTTGCTGTTTCAAGCTATTTTGTGTTTGCCTTTTAATAAACTGCATTCTACTTGATTTACCTGGACTACAGTGGAGTGTCCTTGTTACAGAACATACACAGCTGAGATGTGAAGAAGATTGATCTGGGCCCAAGTCAGAATAAGAGAGACTTCCATCAGCAAGGAGTGGCTGCGCGGTTCACCTTGCCTCCTGACATAAGCTACTGCGGTGGTGTTGTCTACTTTTAGTAGGACAGATTTCCCAAGGACTAGCTGCTTGAAAGCTAACAACGCCTGAAAAATCGCTCGTAATTGCAGAACATTGGAGACAATCCTTCTCGCCTGAAAATCCCATCTCCCCTGGGCAAACTGACCCAGACACGTAGCCCCCCACCCCAGCTCGCCAGCATCGGTAAAAATGATCGTCCACGAAGTTGGGTGGAGAGACTGACAGCAAAGGAGATTGTGATCCTTGAACCACCAGGTGAGGCTGCTCCTCATCCGGGAAGTAATCTGAATCAATTGGTTGAAATACTCTTTCCGCCACTGGCTCAAGAATCCAGTCTGGAAAAGACGGGACCTCTATTGGGCCCACTAGACAATGGGAATCGTGGACACCATAGTGCCCACAATCCGAAGATAGTGAGATGGAGGAAGGAGATCGTGAGTGAGAGCCACCGAAAGGCGTTGTTTGACAAGAGGAAGCTTCTCCATAGGAAGAGAGACCGTACCACGTACCGTATCCCCCAGGTATACCAGATCTTGTGTGGGGGACAATTGCCTCTTTTCCAGGTTTATGAGCCAAACGAACTGCTCCAGAGTCGAGATCACTAGTGACCGATGCTCGAGTAACGATTCTCGGTTCTGATGTAACAGTAGTATATCGTCCAGGTAATGGAAGATACGGATTCCCTGCTCCCGAATCAAGGCAACTACAGCCAGTAGAACCTTGGAAAGCACCCTCGAGATGTCATGAGCCCGAAGGGAAGACAGAGGAACTGATAGTGGAGGCCGCATAGTGAAAACCGGAGGATACGTTGAAAAAAACACTGGATGGGAACATGGAAGTAGGCGTCTTTCAAATCTATGGATAGTTTGCAGCGACTCCATTTTGAAATGGTCTTTGACTATGAACTTGTTCAGGAAAGTTAGGTTGATCACTGGAGAGTAAAAAGGTCGAAAAGAGGAGAGTAAACCCCCCCAAAGCGTTTTAAACGTGGAACGGGAGATATCACACCCTGAACCAGGAGGTTCTCCACCTAGGAAAGGAGGATTGACCTCCGAACAAGATCCAAAAGAGGCGGTGTTGGGCGAAAGATGGAACCAGGTGTTTTGTGAAAGGCCCAATGATGGCCTCTGGTAACAGTCTCCAGGACCCGTCACTGAGGGGCCCTTCTTGGCCCTAGAGAAGGTAGCAGAAGGCCGACAGGGGTGGCAAAATTCTTTCCCTGGCTTTGTCACGTACCTTAGGGGGAGCCTGAGATGACAAGGGCGGCCTCTCTTGCTGCTCCAGTCCAAACACCCCTGTAAAGTGGAAACAGGTGCGTGAGGACAAAGAGTGGCACAAGTGCCGGTAGGTTGTGACTCCTGTCAGAGCTGCATACAGGTTGCAGAGGCTCCTTAGCAGGATGCAGGTTGAAGTACAAGATCCTGGAAGCAGAGTAAAGCAAGCCGGGTCATCAACAATCTGGCAGTGAAGTACAAGTTTAGAAGGCAGGACGTAATCAGGGACAGGCCGAGTCGGTAACTTGCAGACGGCGTGGTATCCAGGGAGCAGGCAGGAGAGAGGTCAAAGACAAGCCGAGGTCAAGGAGCACAGAACAGGAGTAAAGTCAAGCAGGCTGGGTCGGTCGCAGGA